GGGCGGCCCGTCCTGCGGGGTGTCCGGGAGGGTGGGCTGGCGGTCGGCCTTGTCACGCTGCATTTTGTGCCGACGGCCGGCCTCGGGCAGCGCGGCGGTTGGCACGTTGGGTACGGCCCTTTATAGGAAACGCGAGTGTCTCGGAGCGGGGTCCGAGGCAATGCTGCCTCTTTCAGAAGAGAACTGGGGGACGTGGCGTTCGTTTAAACGTCCCTCGGAGCAGAGGCACCCGCTGAGGGAACCGTGCTCAGCAGAGCGTCCTCTGACAGCGGGCTGGCTTCCCTCTCTCCTTCCCAGTTCCTGAGGCGACAGCAGGTTCTTCACTTGTACAGGAAGATCCTGCGGGCGATTCGCGATGTCCCTGCTGAAGCAGATCGCCACTATTTAAAGGACTGGGCCAGGGAGGAGTTCAGGAGGAATAAAGATGCGACAGAAGAGGTGAGGATTGGGAACCCGCAACCCCGAGCGCCTGCCCTCCAGAACGGTCGGTGCGCTATCCTTACTTTGTCACGGGGTTTTGTTTTGTAGGTGTCACTTCTGGACTGGTAAGAAGTCTCCTGTTACTAATTTCTCTTAAGGAGCATTTGTGCAAAGAAATAATTCAGCATCTCTAAATATTACCCCTCTGTTGGCAGTAATGTTTCTCTGATTTCCAGATAATAACGTGGACTTAAAAAGCTAAAACCCAAACAAATCCTTACTTAAACCACGAATCAGAAAATACTTAATACAAATATTAGATGACCAACGTAAACACTCAGGCTTTACGATGATAGCTTCTTTTTTCATCTTTAACTATATTCAATGATATTCATCCCAAATAAAATTGGATGGTTGTGGATACGAAGCATGTATGAAATGCAGAAACCTTTACACTTCCTGTGTGTCTCCTGTCCTCTGCTTTCTAGTTTGTTCCTTTTTCTAGCCAGTGCTCAAGGAATTGGTGGCTGCATTATGCAGACAAAGCTTTACAGTACTTAGATAAAAATAATAGTGAGAGAAACATCCATTTGCTCTGTAAAACACCTGTATTCATGATGTCCCTGTGCCAGTTGTCATTACTTACTTGCAAAGGTGGTAGAGGCATAAAGAAAACATTATTATGAGTTTGAATGCAGTTCAAAACTGAGTTTTAAAGCAAAACCATAAGCAGCCCTCAAACACATCACGAAGGAACTGGAGAAAACTAATTTATTATTTATTCACCTGTTTTTTAACCATCTCAGTGACTATAGCGTTACTTCACACAAAGAAATAGATCACAGTAGTGCTGGTAAGAATTGTATGCATTTTAACGTGTTAAAACTCTGCATGCTTGTGTAAAACCTGTGCTGTGTAGACGTTCAGTAGATTTCACTTTGTTTTACAGGATGCAATCAGGATGATGATTACTCAAGGCAACATGCAACTTCAGGAACTTCAAAGAACACTTAAGCTGGCAAAATCCTGATCTTAATTTTGTTGACAGCTGGACTTTCATCTGCTGCAAACAAGCATAGTATTTCTTGCAGAATGTGGTTACAATAGTAGCCTTTGCGGACAGCCTGGTAATGTTTGAAGATGGACTCTACTGCAGTGGGGTTTTTGTTTGGTTGGTTTTTTTTTTTTTCCCCTTCCTCTTCTCAGTTTGGTTACCCTCCCCTGTGGAAATCACTTAGACACAAAGGACTTTAAAGAACTGAATGGATGTAGCATGTGCTGTGGGAAAAGCAGAAAGCACCAACAATTACAACAGCAGTGTTATACCAGGGAAATGGAAAATAAACATAAGCCAGATTATTTTGTCTGTTTTCTATTGTGGCAAGTCTAAGTGGTAACATTCATAGTGGTAACAGCTCTTTCTATACTGTGTGAAGGATTTTTACCAAAATTGGGCATTAAAAAAGCATTTGGGATAAATAAGTGGGCCCAAAACAAATAAACATGATAAAATATAAAGAAAATGTTTTATATGTAGGTGTTGATTTTCAGTTATAGCTGAAGAAAACTTAAAAGGGGAGATCTTTATATATGAAAATGAGAGATTTAACCCCAGAAACAGTTATTACCAAGTTAACAGGAGGTACCCTTTACTTAGTATTTAAAAGTCAATATAAAGTAGAATTACAAATAGAAAATACTAACTGCAAATATCGTGGTCTGTTTTTTGAAATGTTGTATTACTCCACGTCTTATTGTTAGCTTGCAGCTGTTCTTACCTTCCTGTGAATTGCAGTATATCTTTTTTTTTTTCATATAATTTAAAAATGTCAGGATGAGTCTGGGATTTTCTCAACATCAGTAGCCAGACAACAGTAGATAGATACCTGACTATCTACGTATCTATGAGGTGAGGTTGTGGTTTCAAGAGATGCAGGAACCCTTCTGTCTCCCACCCTGCTATTACAGTTCATTTCAGGAGCCACCTGCCCTTGCCAAGATGTCTTTCAGCCAAGTTAGTGAGCTGGACTGCCCCACAGCAAGTCCAGTCAGTGCCACCGCACAGGACAGGACAGTGTTCCCCCTCCAGGCTACAGGAGGGAAGAAACACCCCACTCAGGAGCAGGAGGTGTGCTTTTTGCCAGAGCCAAACAAAGAGTCTTTAAAGCTACATACTTCAGCCAAGCTGCTTTGCAAAAAGCTGCTGCTTAACAAGAAAGAATGCCTTTTTTTTTTTATCCTAATTCTTTTTCTGAAAGGCATCGTAGAATCTTTTCCTATGATGTTTATTAAACTTTGCAGTAAAGGATGTGGCTTAGGCAACCAGTGAGGCTGCTAAAGAGTGCATGTCTGTATAGACAGAAGCCTTTGAACCTCTAACCAGTCAGTGAAAAATAGGTATGTCTAAATATTTTGTTAAAAATCTAAATATTGTTAACGTTTTCTGGTAGAGTATATTGACAGAACATTAGTGTGTTGGGGGTTGATTTTTCGTTACCAGAAAATTGTTTTGAAAGGAGTTTTGACTAAACAAAGCTGTAATCAATGTTGGTTTTTCTTGCGTGTAGCCTTCCCTTTCCCTTCAGCCAGCATTTTGATTTCTGTTCCTTAATTATGAGACTTTACCCTGCCACCTCATCACAGTGCTTTCCATTCAGAGCCCTGAGTCTACATTACTACTTCGACTCCATGTTTCTAGGTTGTGGCCACATAATCCAGCACTAGGTCATGCCAGGCAGTGCCCTGGACAGCTGTTGACTTCATGAGTGCTGCTGCCTGTGATCTCCACTGCTTTGTGGGCTTGTCAAGATAAAATTGCCTGCCAGAAGCCTTTGGGAGTCCAAGTACAGTCTGTTACGGTAAGTAAATTTACTCCAAGTGTGTCCTGCAGAGAAGGGTAGATAATATAGGTATTTTGTAAAGAAGTCCTTCAACTCCAGTAGTTTTGAAGGAGGGAAGACTACAGAGGGGAGTAGAAAGGAATTAGCAGAAAGTACCTCCCTTTATTTTACAGTACACTTGTTGGCTTCAGAAAACCTCTAAAATCAGTACTCTGCAGCCAAGTTACTGTGTTAAATTGCTGCTCCAGTGGCTACTGTGGTAGTGTAGTTTGTATGATGTGAAGCAGATTAGCTAAAGCCATAGCCGTTCCATTTCCTGTGCACTCGTGCAAGCTCAGGAGCATGTGGGTAATCAGCTGTACGACTCAGCCCTGTGCCAGTAATTTCTGAAATGGTGGGTGTGTGCATCAGCTAACAAATGGCAGTCGGTCCCTGCAGCCTGCCTTGGGACAGCCGGTAGACCCAGCTTCCATGTTTTATAGCCACAAACACAAAAGCTTAGAAGTTGGAAGTTCAATTTTCTGCTCCCCCTTCTGAGTCAAGTGAGGAGGTTGCGTCCATTTTCTCTGGCTAGAAAACATTACACCACAGACTTCTGAGCAACACTTACTTTAATTGCTTGGCAAAACAGTCACTATCAAGATGATACAAAACTTAAATAGCATGCTTCTGCATTCCTACAGTAGCTTAAACAAAACTGTAAACATATGAAAGTGTCTGTATTAGACTATAGAAGTCGGAGCAATAAAACTAGTATTTCCGTAACTGCAGATACACTTTTCTTGTCTTGATAGTGCATTAATAGGAACTTTAAAAATATTGTTATATAATACAATTCTCTTTGCTTTATACATCTGCTAAGAAGACAAAAGCTTAATTACTAGTTAGTCAATGGTGTCTTCAATACTGTAAAGTATTTTGTATTGATTTTAGGGCTCCTCAGTACAGAAAAAAAATCTCTTTCTCCTTGGCATAACAGTACTATCCCGTGTTTGAATTGGTTTTGAACAATTGTTCGCTCATGATGTGTTAAGTAAACTTACTTTTCTAACAGAATCTGATGGCGCCTTCTCAGAGGTATAGGGAGGAAACCCTAAAGGGGTGCAGACGCAATGAGTTACAGTGCCTCTGGTGTATTCAGCATCTGTCAGCCTGCACAACATTGGTCATTGTAAGTTTTTATTTTACAACAAAACACATCTATAAAAACTTTAACATGTTGTTGAGTTCTATTTTGTCGGACTGTTTATGAAACCAGTCCTAAGACCTGCAGACTCACCAGGGCCCAGCCTCTCCTTTTAGAGATACAAGGGGGAAAACAGAGAGAGGAATCATTCAGAGGAACAAAGGAAGACGGTCTGGACAAGGTGTCCGGGAGAAAATCCTGACTCTGCAGAAAAAGCAACATTTGAGTACAGGGAACCAAGCTTTCCCTTCTTTAGATAAAGGACTTTTTCAAGCTTCAGTAGTAGAGAATTCAGCCATTTGCTGCTTGAAGGAAAAGAGATATAAAAATTATACCTAAGAAGTAGAGCACAGTTATGGTAAAATATTTGCCATCCATGCCCTCAACAAATCTTCTCAGTCACATTACCGGAGTACGGCCCCAACAACTGTGTAACCACAAGGAGCTTTGCAACCAGGACACCATAAAAAAAAAAAAAAAAAAAAAAAAAAGGCAAATCTAATTTAGCATTTGTTTTAATAATGGAAACCCAAAAGAAAAGCACAGTGGCAACTGAAGCCTCTGTACCTAATGGGATGACTCGCCTCAGCACCTCACTCTGGGGTGGCCTGGCCTCCCAGCTGGACGCCTGCATCTGTCACCTACGTGGGCTTGTAATTTGAGTTGGTTCTGTAGCTTTTCTCCATTGATGAGAGAGAGGCTGTGGGGAGTATCTAAAATAGTATCAATAGCCCTTCATCGCTAAGGAATTTCTGTCAAAAGCTCTCAAACATGCTGAATCTATTTCAGTATTGGTGTCGCCATGTGTTTACATGTAGCATACAGTGGAACCCTCTAGCCACACATGACCTGTTGTGAAAATAAGGAAATTCCCTTTTCAGAAAGCAGTTTTGGTTTCTAATGCAGTTTGTTTTCAAGCAGCACCTGGAAATTGAGAGTGCAATATTTAACAGAGTCTTGGAAATAACAAAGAAAGGATCTAATCTGCAGCATTTCATTGTCATCAGTACAGTCTGCATATGAACTCTCCTCAGTTCTGGAGTTTCCAAAGTTATTTCTACTCCTGAAAAAGAGCATTTTGTTTGGATGTAACAGGCACTACAAATATCTCTCTCTCTCTCTCTATCAATATTCCCAAATGAGTCCTGTTGCTTGTCTTTACCCGCTTGGTAGATGCTAGCTCTCTTTCTGCACCTTAGTCCTTAATTTGCTGAGCTCCTCTTCTAAGCTTTTAATATGCTCCTTGAGCGCAGCTTTGTCTTGCTGCGCTTTCTGATTAGCTTGGCACCGGGCTTCTTCTATTTTCCGTTCATACCACTTCTCCATCTGGGTGGAAACGGCCTCAAAGAAGTACTGTGTTATCTCCAGGGCCTGGGAGGTGTCTCTGAGCGGAGGGGCAGGCAGCTGTCCCACAGGCAGGGCGGAGGGCTGCTGCTCCTGGCTCTGATGTGCCCCGGCATGGTGCAGAGCTTTGTGCCTCAACTGCCCGCTTTTGCTGGACTTCTTTGTCTGAGTTCCTTTGTCGATGAAGTAGCCACTCTGTGGTTCAGTCTTTGCAGGTTCAGTCAAGGGCTGCAAAGCAGCTTGAACCTTAACGTGTCTCAATTTGGAGCCCAAAGGCTCAGAGGAGGACAGCTCCTGCTGGAACCTGTGGAACGTGCTGGCGCTAACAGCTTTGTCCTTTGGCCTGACATCTTGAGCAGGGGCAGAAGAAGAAACTGGTCCGCCAGCTATTAACTGTTGCTCTGTACCTACAGAATAAAATGTATACATATATACTTAGAAAAGCTCTGGCCATTTACTTTAGCATTCAGAAATCCTCATTGTTCGATGAATGATGCGGTTTCCCATGTACCGTGCTGTGTGTACATCATAGAGGCTTATATTAGTTTATCGCACCTTCACAGTCAGGTGATACAATAGAGTCATTAAAAGAGAAAAGCTGGCTCAAGCAGAGAGGCACTGCATTGCGGCTGTGGGACTACAGACTTGACAACAATCAAAGGACTTCCTCAGAAGGACGTGTAACAAAGATCAGGCTAGATTCCCGAAGTAGTTTATGTCTGCTGATATTTATGAACCCCCTGCTTCTACAAAACTTGAAGCCCCACTAATTTTGCAAAGATAACACATTTTGATGCTTCTGAACTGTTCAATATGGTATAGCTCACACTCATGCTACCATAAGATCATCTGTGCAGTCTTCTGCCTTTCTAGTCTGACAGGGTATCCATGTCCATGTCTTTTCACTTTGCACAGTGTTTTGGGGGGCATATACAATGTATATTACAGAAGCCCAGGGCTTTGATAGTGCTCTCCTTGGCTGTGGAGACCTGGCCATTCTGCCTGTCTCTTTTTTTTCCTCAAAAGCTTCCCTTGCCAAGCACAGAAAGGTGGCTTGAACCGTATCTTCAGGTGGCCTTGATCCCTGAACAGGCTTGAATGTTCTCAGCTATTTTTGTTCTTGTCAAATGAACTAATAATTAAACAGACGTTGGTTCAAGAAAAGGGAAGAAGTGAGAGGTTTATTCTATATCCTTGCAGTTTGAATATTAACAAGTATTTGAGTTATTGAGAAATGAGTATTTTAGGTTCACATCCTTGTGCCCTGCCATTATAGGCTCCACACATCTGAAGAGCACTAAATAGAATACACTTTCTTCAGTAGACTTTGGCTAATCTGCACACCTTCCTGACAGACAGCAGGGTGGGAGCAATTCTGACTGGGAAGCTGGAGAAATTTCAGAAACCAGAGTTATTCAGAGCATCAAAGGACTTGGCTTCAAAGACACAGTGACATGGAAACATCAGGAGTCGTCAGTGGAATTCCACCCAACCGTGTCTTAAAATATTCCTAGCAGCTGCCTTGAAGTGTATTCTAATGCCAAGACATTAGGCGTACGGATGGGGGGAAAATGCACAGCCAGAATTAACATTTGTGGTATTAATGCAAGTATCCCTCAGTTAATTAGCTCGCCTTTGAATGAATATGACATTTAAGTACCTGACAAGGTTGTACCCGATGCACCATCTTGTTGAATGCAAAAATGTTGCCCAAAGCTCTGTTCTGGCATCTGGACTCTGCTCCTTCCCCCACCTTCCGCGAGGCTGTTCGGAAGCGTGATACAGGAATGCTGGTGGGAGCCCTCTGACTGCAGCACGGGCTGGTTGGCTTTACAGTCCTTGGCACTGTGGGGGTTGTTCTCAGTATCCAGGGTCTCAGTGAGAGACTCACAAGTGGACAAAGTTGATTTTGGTCTTGATGATCTGGAATCTCCAGAAAGCTTGAGCTCCAGATTCTGAATCTTCAACATGCACCAAGTCTTCAGCTCATCGACCAAGGAAACCTGTGAGGAAGAGACTGTAAATCAGATGATCCTACGATTAGATCCTATGGTTCTGGGGCTGCTGAGGACGTGTGGCAGGGACAAAGAGAAGCAAGGCAGGGTACCTGTGGGCTTAGACTCCCTGTACAGATGTGCATGCTGCCACTGGGAATATTTAAAGGACTGCAAATCAGAAAAGACGAAGAACTATGCATTAGCTAATGAAAGGCACCCTCTTCAGTCCAAGCTACCACCTCTTAGATTTGAATGTGCCACTTCAAATGCAACCCTAAGTCCTCTGATCAGAGATGACTTGTTTAAATCATGCAGTCAACGGCACTTTCTAAGTGCAAGGAACATCATGTGGTCAAAGCTGCCATTTGTTAAGAGTGAAAATTCAAATTGGACACTTGGGACACAGCTTTATACCATTACCAACCTCTGCTCCTCTGTTCATTCGGTGATAAAGATGAGTCCCACACTAAATGATAAATTACTAACAGCTTTCAAATTACAAAGGTGCTTAATAAGTGTCAGCTGCAGAGGCATGTGCCAGTAATCATTTACAATATGAGTAGCTCTTCTATCCTCTTGTTCATATGACATCACAAATTTAGGTCAGGCCCTCCCATGCACATGGACATTTAGTCCATGCATTTAGTAAAGCCAAACTCATTTTTTCCAGTAGTTTCAATTAGACCCAACAGAACAGGAACAGATGATATCACTTAATGGTAATTTCAATTCACCCCATGTATCACTCCAGTATCTCATTTCTTAAATGGAGATTACAAGGAGATGGAGCACAAGCCTAGACATTCAGAAGCCAATCTAATACTTAAATCTCTTACTATGAAATAAAAACTAAAGCTGCCTTAGTTTGGTAAGTACTTTTCTTTGGAGAAAAGTGTTTTGCATATATTAGACCGAAGTATCTTGATCAGTAGTTTATGCTAGGATTATCACAGCTGCCAGTCTTTTAACATGGATTTGGAACAGTCTTACAAAAAGTCAGGACATTTTACTAGCACAAAGTGTATTTCTCAATTCTTAGAAGAATACCAATAAGGAGAAAATTAATTGTTTTTTAAATTTACCCGTGTGAGTGGAGAAACACAAATTTCTTAGCATTTTTTAATGGTGAATTTTTGCAGAAGCTACAAGGGCAAGAGCTGGATCTCTGCAGGAACAGTTATTCTTGTAATGCTGGTTAAACAAGCATACAGAAAGAACTTGCCTATTGGCAGTGACACACAGCTTGGAGATGGTGCACTGTTGCCAAAGTCAGAGAGAACAACTGCAGCCTTTTAATACATGGGGGAAAAAAAAGATCAGACAGAGGAGAAGGGAGAGTTTCCCAGGGCACACAACCAAATGGATGAGAAGTAAAAGGAACAACACAGATCTTAGCCTTTGTTACTGTTTGCAGATGTTCCTGCAGACACCCTTTAATGAAGCAAAAGCTGAAAGCACAACTGTTAAAAATATAGCAGTAGGGGTTTTTGCAAAGCACTGTGTTCAAAAAAAGATGTTTTGTTATAGATCCCACGCTTCAGACCCACCAAATTAAATTGTGACATTGGGACTGGATTTCACATTCCCCATTTCTAATGCAAAAGCTTTATAAATTTGGTTTAGAGATAAAGATGGTGGATAGGAATAGTTTGGTCTTTGAAGCTCTTCTGCCTGTTTCAAGAGATGAGATAAATCTCCCAATATTCTCTCTGCCTGCTAGAACGAAACTCTTGAGCTGATCCATCTGAGCTAACAGGGAGTAGCTGTTTCAAGCCCTACCTGCCGTTTCTCCCCCTCGGTTTTTTCCAACTCCGTGTGCTGTTGCAGGCGGTGAAGGCACTCCGTTCTCTCTGCGGACAGCCGCTCAGCCATAAGCTTGTCTAAAACACGGAGCTGTGGAAAAAAACCCACAATTTAGCTGAGGTGATCATGTTAAAAACCAAACAAAACCCCCATCTGTGAACCTCATAAGTCAAAGTTCGGTCTGTCTTTCAGACTTCTTTTCTAGGAATGCTGCCAGCTACAATTAGATGTAGCTTGCAAAAAGGTTCAATCACAAAATTATCAATGAATAACAATTACATTAAAAATAAAAAATAATTTAGAGGATCTTGAATCTCAGTGCAAA